AAACACTCTGGCACCAGAACCCAGGCCCGGTCTAGGCAGTAAGAAAGAAAACAGCCCAGGGTTCGAACTGAAGGAGGGGCAGAGAGAAACACATCCTGCCATTTTTTTTATCTGTTGTTTCCTCGTCTGGTTCTGATCTTCCCTGGTCAGTTAAGAAGGGCCCCCTGTGGGGCCGGTGCCCTGGGTGTCCCCATGAGGGGAGGACAGGGCGGTCGCTGTGTCCCTGCCAGCTGCGCTCTCGCGCCCGTGTGGACGTCTCATGTTTCCACACCACACTGTCTGCGCTGACGGGACCGAACGACCTGCGCTTCTCCAGGCCAGTGGTGGGCAGCCCTTGAGCCTCCTGACGGCTTCCCAGTGCCTGTGGCCCGCTGCTCACCCACAAGGGGACACGGATCTATGCTGCCCAGTCTCTTGCTCGTCCTGTGGCCAGGAGTGAGCTGAGCCCCCCCTCCCCTGCTGTCGGCTGCCCTCCACTGCTGGGAACCCACACCGTGGTCTATTGGAGGCGTCTGGAAAATCAGGATTTGCACTTCTTTACAAATATTTATTTAAAACGTCCTTTGGAGTTTCTGATGTTTTTTTAATTTTTATTTAAACAGGTCTTAATACATACAAACCAAATAAAGAAATAAAAAGTTATGGAAACAAATCTATTGGACTGGCCTGTGTTGCTCCTGTATCTACTGGACTGGCCTGTGTTGCCCTGATGTCTGTTGGACTGGGCTGTGTTGCTCCGGTATCTGTTGGACTGGGCTGTGTTGCTCCGGTATCTACTGGACTGGGCTGTGTTGCTCTGGTGTCTGTTGGACTGGCCTGTGTTGCTCCGGTATCTGTTGGACTGGCCTGTGTTGCTCCGGTATCTATTGGACTGGCCTGTGTTGCTCCAGTGTCTATTTGAGCGTGCCACTCCAGTTGATGGGGTTGTACTGCAGCAGCTCTCTGTCTCTCAGCACCTCCAGAGAACGGGACAGAGCACGCTCCCTCCAGCCCTGCTCCATCATCTGGGGAGAGAGGGGGAGCAGGTCACTGGCCACACTGGCTCAGTATCACATGGAGAATATGATAACAGCGCACTCTCCACAGTCTGCCAGTCCGGTCCGGTCCACCGTCAACACACTGACAGTCCTGGAATTCACTATGTGATCTATACTATGTGATCTATTAATACAACGGTCATTACCAAGGGCTCCTGCCTCTAATAGATTTCATTTGACTGTTTTAATTTTGTTTTCTCGATGGTGCGCTTGTGAACACAGTAGCGTCTCGGGGTTACCCTCTTGTTCTCATCCCTGTAGTGGCTCAGTGCTCGGGCTCGGTTCTGGTTCTCCTGCGTCTCGCGGGTCAGGGCCAGGCGGTCCGCCTCGCGCAGCGCCTCGAGCTCGCGCGTCTGGCTGGCCAGCAGCTGCCTCTGCCTCTCCCACTTCTCCAGCATCTGCCTCTGCAGCAGCTCGCGCACTTCCTGCCTGGGGAGAGCAGCCAATCGCCGCCCAGAGAGCCTGTGTGAGAGCCGGGCTTGGAAGGCAAACCAGCCAATCAGAGCACACTGGAGATCCACCAGCCACTCAGACCTGCGACTCCTGTGTCAGCCTAAACCGTCTCGCACACAGGAGTCAAAAACATTGACAGTCCAATCACTCGGGAAAAAGAAATGTGTTTTTTTTTCTCAAAATGTGAGATTTTCTCTGTCTTTACTAGCTGGTTAATGCCAATCACAATTGAATCACTGATCGGGCAGCCAATCACAGCCAGGCCAGTGAGCAGGCAGCCAATCACAATCGGATCACTAATCGGGCAGCCAATCACAATCGGATCACTGATCATGCAGCCAATCACAGCCAGGTCAGTGATCAGCCAGCCAATCACAATTGGATCACTGATCAAGCAGCCAATCACAATCGGATCACTGATCGAGCAGCCAATTACAGCCTGGTCACTGATCGGGCAGCCAATAACAGCCAGGTCAGTGATCAGGCAGCCAATCACAATCGGATCACTGATCGAGCAGCCAATCACAGCCAGGTCACTGATAAGGGAGACAATTAGAGCCAGGGCAGTAATCAGGCAGCCAATCACAATCAGATCACTGATCAAGCACCCAGTCCCAGTCAGGAAGTTGATCAGGCAGCCAATCGCAGTCAGGACACAGACCGGCCGACCAGAGTCCGCCCCAGCTCGAGGCGCGAGTGCTCACGCTGTACCTGTACTCCTCCTTGTCTGCGCGGCAGCCGTAGAACGGCCTCTGCCAAGCCTGGTGAAACCTGCGGAGACGGGGGGGCGTCAGAGTGGCTGCGGACAGTCACACCTGCGATTCCAGCACTGGGTGCTGCGCCCCCATGACTCACTGCATCTCCCACCCCCCCCCACACCCCATAAAAACAACTTCGGGTTTGGTTCAGGACTCCAAGGTCTTGACAGGGCCGGAGTGTGGTGTCCGCAGGCCGGGTCACTCTCACTCCGACACGTGCAGAAAGAGGGAGAAACGCCGATCAGACGCCAACGCCTGACACGACGCACTTCAAACTGGTCTCACGCTAAACCCCGTGATCGATGGGGCGAGTCGAGCGACCAGCACCTCCACTCTTCCAGCTTCTAGACCAGCCGCCAGACAGCGCAGGACTATTGATCCGGAGCGCCGAGAGGCGATCGCAAGCCTGTTGTTTCAGCTCGGTTTTCACTGGTCACTGGTGTTTCCCTCCTGCGTGGGCCCCTGGCACGGTGCCGGCAGTGCCTCATGGGAGATCCGGCGCTGGGTCTCGGTCTGTGGGAACAGCTGCACCCCTGTCGCCCCTGTCACCCCCTCTCACCTGAAGTACTCTTTCTGCTGCATCACCAGCACCCTCTGCTGGTTGTGGTGGTGCGCTGCCAGCGTCTCCAGGCTGACGGTGCGCCTCCTGCCCGAGGGGGGGTGCAGGGGGTTGATGCGGGTGGGGCACTGTCCGGGGGGGGGGAGCACAGGACCTCATTACCGGCAGGCGAACTGTCACCTGACTCCAGTCATTAAGGTCATTGAAAACACACTCCAGGCTTCTCCTCGCCACCTCCCTGCCTCGCTGCCTCCCTCTCCCTGCCTCCCTGTCTCCCCGCCTCCCTGCCTCGCTGCCCTGCAGGTTGGGCTGCATTCCAGAGCAGCTCGCTGCCTCATCGGGCGTGAGGGAGGGCCGGAGAGTCGGAGGAGCCAGTGGGCAGTCAGCCCCTGCACCCCTGCACCCCGAGTCAACAGCTCACTGGCCTCAAGATCTCGTCCTGCTGCGTCTTGAAAGACACCAGGGTATCATGGTTTATCAATACTGCATGGTGGGGAAGGTTGTTCCACGCTCCCACCGCCCTATGTGTAAAGACCTGCCCCCCCCCCAGTCCTCTGGTTCTGCTTACTGGTCATTCAGAGCGGGACTTGGTACGTCCCCCGTTCAAGCCGGAAGAGACTCGGATCTCGGGAACAAACCGGCAGACAAACCCCGGAACCACCCGGCCCGTCCTGGACCCACCTGGCTCACGGACAGCGGGACGGCGGCCGGGCTCACGGCGGGCAGCGCCAGCGGGGTGACCAGGTACCTCCTCCGGGCGGGGGCCGCCGCTCGGGCCATCCCGGCGGACACCGGCGTGCTGGGCAGCGACACCCCAGCTGAGAGAGGGAGGGAGGGAGAGAGGGGCGGTTACCTTCACTGACCCCCCTGCCCGCCGGGTGGCAGAGTCGGGGTCCCAGCCGGCCCCCCGCCGCCCCGGTGCCGGGCGGTCAGACGGCGACCCGGCGGCGGAGATTCTTACGGAGTCGCATGTCCGGTTCCTCTGCTCTGCCCCTGCGGAGCAATCTGCGAAGATGCCGTCCTGCTGCGCACGGAACAGGAACGAGAGAGAGAGAATCGCTAGAAACTTTAAAAAAAAAACAAAACTTTTTTGGAGATTTTAATCACGTCTGAAAGCCGAGCGCCCCGCTGCGGGTCCGAGCAGGCTGCCGCGTTTCGGACCCGGGACGCGGGCTCTGCCCTGGCCGGCGGGTTCGGGCGGGTGGTCAGTCGGCACGCGGAGAGCGGACTCACCTCGCGTCTGCGGCGGAGCTGGACAGCGGTCGCCTTGGCAACGGGGTCCCATTGTTGGGGCGCGTGCGTGAGAGGAGGGGCGGGGCTGCGCCGGGACACACCCCCCCCCGCTGTGCTCGGCTGTCCCGGCGGAAAGAAAGAAAATAAAGGTACAGTGAAATAGACAGTCACTTGTCCAAACAGAGCGGGTTAATCGCTGTGGGAATAAAAGAATGACACCTCTATTGCTCTTGCGTCGACGCCCAGATACAAGAAGTCAAATTCACTGCTTAGCTTTGCAGCAGTTCCGTGCTCACTCAATCTCCCGCTCTCAACTGCGGCTTTGGGAAAACGGTTTTTTTTCTTACACCTCGCAGTATGGCGAACGCCTTTTCTAGCTGGCAGCAATATTACAGTACATATAGCATATAGTATAGTATATATACATATAGTATAGCGCGTTGGCTCTGCTGTCCTCTGTTTTGTGAGATGACGGCGCTCACGGTCCAGGAATACCGGGCGGATGTCATCACGTCTGTGCGGCGCCTCCTCACGGCACGGGGATCTCCAGCTGCCCTGCGAGGAGGGGACAAGGGCGCCCCCTCTTGGTGTCTTGTGGAAGAGATGTCCAATGTTTACAGGTCTCTCTCACTCTCCAGCTTCTCAATAACAAGAGAAAACGTAAGCTTGTCCA